GTAGATTAAGGCCCATCATAAGCATGAGTTGTCTCCAACTCCATGTAGTGGTGTCGGCCTGTACCTCACAGCCTGCCCCACCCCGCTGCCTCCTGACCCACATGTCAGTGTTCCTCCTCGGACAAAATCTTGGGCTCAACTCAGGCACAAGTAATACAGAGTATTGTTTTCATCGATGCACTGCCTTTCTAACCCAGAAAGTGAGTTCTCCTTCTCTCTCCCTCTCTTCATTTTCATAATGTAAGTACATAATTAAAATAAAACTATTATCCCTACTCTAGAAATTACACCCCTTGACTCGGTTTGGAATCTACTACTCTACCTAGTAAAACACGGGAGTTCTGGAAAATTAGAAAATCATGATATTCTAGCATGACTAAGTAGAGAATAACAATATAAGTGGGCCAAATATTAGTCATAAACAATATGAAGGTGATGTCTAAATACTAACTTATTCATTGTATTAATTTGACGTTTCTGTCCTTACCATGGTGCTTTTCTCTTTTCTGAGCAGACTACAGAGTTGTATGTGCACCTGACTTTCCATGGTATTCAAACTTGTTGCCTATTGTTTGCAAACTCAGGGGAAATGAGGTCAATTTGGTTCTTATTTAACTGGCTTTGTTCAATGTAAAACAAAAGTAGTATTCAATTTCTATTTGATGATTAGAATTATGGCTAAGTTCACCAAGGCTAGAAATGTGGTTGGGAATTTGAATATTCATAATCCATGACCCAATAAAAGAAGAGAATCAGCTCTATCAAAAATATACATAAGTATCATAAAAAGAATAATATTTGAAGCCCAATAAACATGAACAAAAATATTTCCAAAAAAAAGTGTTTATCATTTTCATGCTGTATATCTGTTAGGTGGCTGCCTGCGAAAGAACTCCTTTAATGATCAGAATCAGTATGCTCTTCTTTAAGCTACCATTCATTTTAACCATAAAATTATATGTATTTCAGTAAATCATAAGTCAGTAATTTTTACGTTACAAGGAAAATATGATATCCTAGAGCTAAGTATTTTGAATACCTAACTTCTTATTTTACTCCAATTACAACATTATGCTTTGATGTTAAATGAAAAAAATACATCTGATTTCTCAAACAAGATTACAAAATGAGTACTTTCAGGGCACATATTTATTTTCCAATTAATTTTATTGATCTTACAGGCAGAATAGTATCTTTATCTCTCTATGACATTCAACAACACCAAAATAGCTACAACTCCGGTGTCAAAATCAATAATTACTAAAACTCAAGCAAGCAATTTGTTACTATCTGTGATTAGGAAAATTGGATCCAAAAGGCATATAGAATAGCGATAACAGTAAAATAGTATTTGTGATAAGACATAAATAGCCAACATAAATGTAGTCCCTCAGGCATTTTTCTAATCGTGATATTTATACAAACTTTGGAAACTGAGGAGCACACTTGCCAGTCCACCAATGATAGTGAAAAAGAAAATACAAAAGAAGTACCTCTCTTGCTAACAGTGTATTATGTTCAGCTCTTTAGCTTGACATTGTGTGGTACAGTTATCCCTTCCAAGCATTAGAAATCAATACTACATGTGCCTCAAGCTCTTTTACAGATGAACGATCTGATGAAGATGCCCTCATTTCAGAAACTAAGGTCATCAATGTTTCTCTTCCCTTGAAACATTGCAGAAGGCTTGCTGAACCTACAGTAAGCCCCATCTCAGACTACTGGGTGAACAGCGACATCTTGTGGTCATTAAGCCCCTAAACAAACATCTCAAAAGTACAAGCTCACGGGCACCCCTGAAATAAGTGAAATTGCCACCATGCATCACCTTTAATATGGACAGAAGCTTATTTCCAATGAAACTGTATCTGCAAATCACAAACACTTATAGTAGATTTTCTTTTAATTTAGTAATAATATAAATTTAAGGAAAATCCAGCACTGGTCTTCAAACTTTTATTCTTAATCAACAGCCCTTACATAGGTAAATATCCTTTGTAGATTTTTATAAAAATCCAATTTTGATTTCTTCGTGTCTGAGTTCTTGATTATAACAGGGTGATAGAAGGAACTCTGAAACACTCTGAAATACTGAATAATCAGTTTTGTGGCTCTTTTATGAATACATGGATTGGAACGTCCCAGCAACAAATTCAGACACTGTACACCATACAGCAATGCACTGGGGTGCCAAACAAAGACACTATAAAAGCTGCCAGCCTGTTAATTATTGTTGGATTGAGTTTACACTGGAAATGTTATTAATTTTTTATAAACAAGGAATATCCAGTTCATCGAGATTTTCTAAAACAACTGATTCGTGAATTATAGAATTATTTTACCATCAAAAAAAATCACTGTTTAGCAGGTATGACTGTTCCCTATTCACGAAAAGGTTGGGACATTCTTTGGCCATTTTGCAGAGCCCATCAGAGGCACTCCAAGCAAGCATTTGCTGTTCACTGGAACCTTAGCTCATTGTTCCCTATACGTACTTCCCGTCAGAGACCTAAAACTGCTCCCAAGACTTTTCCAGCCAACTCCACAGAAACTCTACCCTCCTGTCACCAGGAATGATTCTTGCTGAACACAAACTGTATCATGCAGTGTCATGGTTGTTCACGGGACACACTGGCTGTCGGCTCCAGATGGACAGGGGCAGCCCCCCGGAGTGCTCAGACAAAGGTGAATGAACATAGGTGGACATCACTATCTGCCGACTTCCTTCATCTCCCCTAAACTCACTGCCAAGGACTAAGACTAGGCTTTCTCTTCCCCTGTAACCCTGTAAGGCTTTGCGGATGACAGTAAACAGATGTGAGGCCTAGACAACAGTCTTGTGTTAATACACCAGCCTCGCCAAATGCAAATGAGCCTATTTAATACTCCCAGGTCATCAAAACACCCACTGCCCAGCCATGTGCCACACTAGTGATGACCTCAGACATTCACCTAAAGACCACTCATGTGCACAGAAGGGCTGCAGTGGCCAAGAACCCCCGTGACTGTCCACGACAGTCCACAGGAGTGGTATCTCACAGGACCTTCAAACTGGGGAACCATGAGAAAAAGAAAGGAACTGTTTTAATATCACGTAAGACTTTCATGTAAATACGCAGTCAGACGTGATCCAGTGGGCATCTCATGCCAAAGTACATAAGCAGTTAATCTTATTAAATTATTGACTGTGATTTCCATGCATCTAATATTAACACTAAGGTCAATGACCTTGACGTTAGTGTTAATAACAATAACCATAACATTAATGCTAAGTACAAAGCCTGGGGTTTTCTCTAGCCCACTCCCCACAGTAACTCCCTAGTTCTCTTTCCCGAAGGTCCTCAATTACAGGAGAATGCGAGGGCTGTGGCCACAAGCAGTCAAAGGTGATGTTTACTAAGGGGACAGGCGGCCACAAGTGGTCCTGGCGGCACCTGGAGGCTGCATTCTATTGCCCATCATTATAAAGACTTAATTCTCCCTTTGGTCCCCCGCCTTTGTCCCTCTGCCCCACCTTATTTCTGCCTGGAGCTAACAGTGGAAGTACGAAGCACCGCGGTGCACCGCGGTGCCTTGCTGCTGTCGGGACCCCGTGTTGTGTAACAGAGATGATTTCTGAATGCCAGGAGACAATACTGCTAACTACTCAGCACTCAACACATCCAGGTAGTCTCAGATGAAGGGCTCTGGGCAATCACAGGTTATTATTACTGTCTGCTCATAATAATAACCTTCTCCCAAAAAAGAATCCAGAACTTGAACTGGCATTTTGAGTTAAAGTTCTGTTCTCCTCTACCTGCCAGCATTCACACGTATCTTGACCTCATCCATGTGTTAAGGATGAATTAATTCAGGTTTGCAGATGAGTAATCTCAAAGTTACCAGCCCACAAAAACATCTTCATGCCCTCCTCTCCCCACATAAAGTAGCCAAAGAGTAAAGTAAGTTATGCTTTTTACTAGTTGCCCAGGGTCATCCTTCACTGGGCCTGGCAGAGTGGAGAAGGGTCTAGCTGAATGGTTGGGTGAGTTGCCACCCTTCGTTCCCCACAAGCCTAGAAGTAATTTGGTCTGGGTCTAAGCGCTAACATCATGCTGCCAAGTCTCTTTCTGAAAAGCATAAATGCAAAATATCCCATTCCTGCAAGCAAACCAACCACAAGGGTGGTGCCAAGAACTTTGGGAGCCCTCTTCTTGGCCACCCGGAATGCAGTTGGCAGCACCGCGGAGATTAATATATTGTTGACATGTCCTAAAACCTTGTTAAATGTTTTTCTCTTCAAGACACGCTCATAGTAGGTTTCCAAGTTCGGTCGCTTTCCATTTCCCCAGTTTCTCCTCGCAAACCCCAGGAACTTCAGTCGATGCAGAGTGACAGCCAGCGAGACATCCGCCAAGGTGAAGGAATCTCCGCAGAGCCACGGCTGGCGGCCCTCTTCTAATCAGAGAAAGGGACATGGAGGGTTAGGAGCAAGCGCCATACACACCCTAGTTGGCATCTTTTGTCTCGGTCTTGAGGGCAGGTGTGAGTGTAGCAAGAGACAAAGGCCGCGCTACATTTTCTTGGCAGTCACACTCAGTGAGTAGTTTTATGCTTTAAAAACAAAACAAGCAAACAAACAAACAAAAAACAAAAAAAACCCTTGCAAACATATCCCAGGCTAAGGGAGACTTGCTTGACGTCTGTCGGTACCTAAGTCCCTAGGTGAAGCTGGGGCCACTTGACCACTTGAGCTCAAGGCGTCTATCATTTCAAGGAGTTGGGAGCCTCCAAGCCAAAGGAGTTAACAGATATTTCCTTCTGGGTTCAGAAAACGGCAGGTGTGCTGTAGGAAAATCCCTAAAGCTGGGCCTGCGGTGTCACTCAGTGGTTGCTGCTTTTAGTTACTTCTTTAAAACGGAAGAGAGTCCCTATGGTGAAGCAAGTTTCAAGTGACATGGTCAACTTTGCTGTCAGTGAGAAGAGTGCGAATGGTCCGTGTGTGTGCAGCTGGGCAGTGGCTTCACCATGAGGCCAGGTTCACGGGCACGACAGTGGGTGCTCAGCAGTGAGCCTGTGCAGACCCAGGCTGGCTCCCTCTGCACTGCACTGCGGACTGGACGTTCTCTCCCTGCCTAAGGGAAAAACTAGACGGAGCGTTCAAGAAATTACTCAGGTTATTCAACCAAACTAACTACTATAATTAAAACCTGTGGAACAGGCTGGGTAGGAATCGCTCAACCGTAACTTAAATTGTGCAGAAAAATCCTTCACGAGTCACATTTTACACAGATGCAGATTCAGTTACAAGTAGGCACCTGGCTTTTGCTGAATTCAAGGTTATTGTGGCTATCATAATTTAAACTGCCCATGAGTACTAACAATTAAAAACAGATTACAGAATGTTTTCGGTGAAATCGAAGAGAATTCCCATAAATACTCCTGGTGTCCAGGAGAAGAGAAAGAGAATACAAATGAGAACCTACCTGGAGTTTCTTCATTTCTCCTCTGCAGCTCAGTTTCAACCTGATCCAAGACTTTCTCCAATTCATCAAGAATCTTCTTCAAATATTTGACATTGTCATGGTCAAGGAGCTTTGACTAATCAACAAAAATAACTAAATAAGTTATTCATGCCTGTAAAAACAATCGATGTGAAGGAAAGCAGATACAAGGTCTTACAGAGCTGAAGCCTGTTTATTCCAGGCAATGAGAAGTAACAGAATTACTTTGTGAAAGCAGAAGCAAAGCAGAGGGGAAATGCCGTGGCTGTGGAAACATCCCAGGGGCCAGACCCACTGCTCACGGCAACTCAGTGGGACCGGATGACCAGAGAGGGCAGAGTGTGAGGGGCACGGAGAGACTCCTGTCACACCCAGATCAGGAATGGGCTTTCAGCAGCCTTCAGTGAGTGAGTGAATAACTGAAGGGTCAGGAATGAGAAAGAAAGCTGAATGCAGTGTTAAAGGACAAGGAGAAAGTAACGCCCGTGGGTGTGCAGATGTTTCTTTTGAGAAGCTCATTTAGCTAACTCGAGGTAAAGGGAGATGGGGCGTAGAGGGGCGGTGGACTGTTGACGTTTGCTACATTTTTAATGTGGGAGAAGCTTACACATGTTGCTGGAACACCAGGAAAGAATCAGCAGAGAGAAAAGGCTGACTTTGCTGATAAGGCAAAGCCTTGCTCTTCAGAAGGCAGACAAAACAGACAAACTCTATATGGATTCAAGACTTGAATGTAAAACCTGAAACCATAAACTCCTAAAAGAAAGCATAGGTGGGAAGCTCGCTGACATTAGTCTTGGCGATGATTTTTTAAATCTGAAACCAAAAGCAAAAGTAACAAAAGCAAAAATACGCAGGAGGGACGACATTAAACTAATAAGCTTCTTCACAGCAAAGGAAACCATCAACAAAATGAAAAAGCAGCCTACTAAGTGGGAGAAAATATTTGCAAATCATATATCTGATAAGGGCCTGATAGCTAAAATATATAAAGAATTTCACACAACTCAATAGCAAAACAAGCAATCCAATTAAAATACGAGCAGAAGATCTGAACAGACATTTTTCCAAAGAAGACATACAACGGCCAACAGGTACATGAAAGGATGCTCAGTGCTGTCAATCACCAGGAAAAAGAAAATTAAAACCACAATAAGATATGTTGCCCCTGTTAGAATGGCTATTATCACAAAGATAAGAAATCACAAGTGTTGACAAGGATGTAGAGAAAAGGGCACCCTTGTGTTCTGTTGGTGGGAATGTAAACTGGTGTAGCCACTTGGCAAAACAGTATGGAGGGTCCTCAGAAAACTAAAAACAGAACTGCCATACAATCCAGCAATTCTACTTCTGGGTGTTTATCCAGAGAAAACAAAAACACAAACTCAAGAAGATCCCTGCATTCCCATGTTCATTGGGGCATTATTCATGACAGCCAAGACATGGAAACAGCTTGTGTCCATTAACAGATGAATCAATCAAGAAATTGTGATGTACATAGAGAGAGAGTGGAATATTATTAAACTATAAAAAAGAGTGAAATTTTGCCTTTTGTGACAACATGAATAGACCTTGAGGGCATTATGCTAAGTGAAATGTCAGACAGAGAAAGACAAATACTGCATAATCTCTCTTATACATGGAATCCAAAAACAAATGCCCAAGCTCATAGGTGCAGAGAATGGACCAGAGGCAGGAGGTGAGGAGGTGGAAAAATGGATGAAGATGGTTAAAAGGTAAAAAGGAAAAAAATTGAGAAGAGCCAAGAGAGTATATATTAAAAAGGCAAACTCACCAGTTACCTTACTGGTATTAAAAAAAGTCACAGACAGAGGTCTAGCTGCATTAAAGGGGCAAAATACCTGAAATGACAGGTTCCTAGAATATTTTATTAACTTGCTTTTACATTTTATAACTTTCCTTGACAACAAGCCTGAGCGATACCTGCTTTTTAAACAACTGTCGTTTGGCCTGAATAGCAAATCTAATAAAGAAAAATTCTTTCTAAAAGCAGAGCATAAGCCAAAGGTCACATGAGTACTGGTGACTTGCAATATTTAATAGAAGATGTTCTAAGAAACAGTGACACTTTACAAAAAGTAGCGCATTTAATACAAACAGCAGATGTCAGTGGAGGATAGCCCAGTTTACTTACTTTAAGTCGCTTCTGCTTTGCAATATACGCTTCTTGTAAATCTGGGTTTTCTTCAGCAAGTTTTTTCAGTTCCGACTCTGTGTTACCGATTTGGCCTGATAATAAAATAATTTTTGAATTAGAAAATTACTTCCTCCCTTCCACACAAGAAACAAGGAAAAGCAGGGAAACTGGATGGTGACCGTCTGAGCCCTGCAGGCCACACCCTGCGTCTGCCTCAGACTTGCCCTCTCTGCGCCTCAGTGTCCTCAGTTTCTTTTTTAAACATTTTTATTGATTTATAATCATTTTACAATGTGTCAAATTCCAGTGTAGAGCACAATTTTTCAGTTAAACATGAACATGTATATATTCACTGTCACATTTTTTTCTCTGTGAGCTCAGTTTTAAAATGCAGCCATCAGAGTATCTGCGCACGGGCGGAGGACGAAATGGGAAGCATTTAGGGCAAAGCCCAGCCCAGCACGTCGGAAATGCTCAGCGCAGAGCAGTCATTCTACCTTCCAGTACCTTTCATGCTTTCTGTAATGAACTTTTACGTGAAGGGGAGGGAAAAGCCTTATTTAAAGAAATGTTTACTCTAGGTGATAGAAGTATAGTCAGAATACTTGTGTCAAGTCATATAATGAGTATGGACGGGGAGAAGGTGGAGGAGCAAGAGGAAGGTGAGAAGCTGGAAGAGCGGGGAGGAAAGCAGAGGGGAGAGGAGCAGCGACGGGAAGGAGGAGGCGAGGGGAGGGGAGGGGAGTATCAGAAACGAGGTAAACAGCCTAAGTCAGAGAACCACACAGGTGAGGCTTGGTGAGACAGAAAGGACGCACTTTGTGGGATTAGGAGAGCTGGGTGTGAGTGTTCGGTCAAACACCCACAGGGTCTGACCACAGGTACCTCCCTTCCTTCCCAGCCTCCTGGGCCACAGTGCACACCGCCTCTGGCTCCTCATCCCTTGCACTGACCCTTCTCTGTCCGCGGGACAGGAGGACAGGACAGTTGGCGATCACAACTCAACCTTAGTGAATCTCCAGTCACTGAGTTTAGAGGTGGAGTAAGGGTGAGACAGCCTGTAGTCCCGCTCCCTCACACAATGAAATGAAAATTAAGGACCAGAAATGTGAACCTAGTTGTCCGTGACTCCCAGAACACCCCAGCTTTCCTAACTCCTAGTCCATCTGTCCATGAGAACATGTTACGTTCTTTGCTTTTCTACAGGCCACTCTTCTGAGCTTTATCTAAGCTTGGCCTTCAAGGCCAAGAGCTGGAAAATTCAGGTCCTGTAGACAACAGATGTCCAGCTGAACAGCTGAAACACAGATTAGTCTGACTGGTGCACGGATCGATGTATAACATGCATGTCCATGAAGCAAACTCAGCAACCCTGTCCCAAGTCTTCATGAGATGTGCTAGGAACCAAAAATAAATTCAAAGAAACTCTAAACAGCATTCTAGGTCTTTAAGATCTTTACATACTGCGAATCCTTGTTGTTGCATAAGCTGGGATCATGGAGTCCACAGTTAGCTCAGGATGTAGGATGCAGCCGTGTGTGTAGGCATCCATTGGCAAGGAGTCAAGTAGTTCTCGATAATGTTGTACCCGTGGGTAATACATGCTTCCTTTATCAGGCATTAACCTGGGTGTTTTTTCTAAAACACACACACAAACATTAGAGGAAAAAGTTACCAATGAGATAGTATATCCAGAGGTAAAAAACAAAAACCCTAACCCTCATCACTAACATTTTCAATATTATACGAAGGCATGTAAAGGATGCTCTCTCCCCAGCCCAGATTCTGAAAATCTGAAGTGGACTGATGTACTAGACCAGATGCCAAACCACGATCACACTTTTCCACTCTGCAAATCACTACTCAGCCTCAAGGTTGTTACTTATGCCAACTCCTCTGTGGAACCCTCCCCAGCCTCCTACAACTACTGACATCTGACCAGGTCAAGGGTGCCTTCTTATGTACATGCAAAATACTCTGTACATACTTCATTATAGCCCTTATCGCTTTAATTAGCTATTTGTATCTTTTTGCCCCACGAACCTCTTCGGGGCAAGGAAACTACGATCCAGGGTCTAGCGTAGTGTCTCATACACGTTGGGCCCTTGGTAAAGGTTGGTTAAGTGAATGAACATTCATTATGGGAAGATGAGCAGGGACCTCTCCTTCCTAGGTTCCAATTAATGCCAAGAGTGAGCCTGAATGTGCACTGACCGTCTTCATGGAATTCACCAGGAATTCCTAACATTTTATCTGTGGAAAGTGAGTTCTGCATAATCCTCATTTGCTGGTTAAACTCTAGACTATAGACTTGTTAAGGGCAGGGGCCATGTACTGTTCTTTGTTGAATCCCAAGTGCCTGATACAATGTTTGGCTCATCGTAGGTATTTGGTAAATTCCAATTAATGCGTGAATTAGTGAATATAGTCTCAAAGTGCTAGTTATTAGAGAATATTTGAGCTCTGCAGCAGTGAATGAGGACATTGAGACATTCTCCCAAGATCCCACAGCTAATTAGAGGCAGAACAAGGACCAAAGTCATTAAGTCCTAATGCAGTGCTCTGTTTTATTACATCATCCTAACATCTTCAAAGGGTTCGTATTTCAGAGACCATCCAAGAAGAATAAAGATAAACTAGGTGATCCAAAGGTTCCTACAGAATCAATTCCCACTTCTGACTCCCAAACTGCCCCTGAGAAATGCCAACGAACTTACTGATCCAACAGGTGAAAAGAACAGCCTTAACTTGATTCATTTATGTCTGCTTATTAATTTATTCATTTAGCTTGGGTTATTTATTTAATTTGGAATCCTTTTAAGCATCCCACACTCACTCATAAGCATTGACAATTCAAAGCTGGTTGCAGAGAATTCCAGGCAAAATCTCCTAATGCCAGACCAACAAGCTTTTTAAGCCAATGGGCTATTTTTGACTCTCTAATTAAAAAGAAGATGGATTACTCCTCAAACCAGAGGGCAAATATCTAATTCCCTGCTGGGGAGTCCAATTTCTGAGACCTGCATTAGAATAACCAAGAATGAAATGTCAGCTACACACTGCCCATCAACAGTGGGTCTGCCAAGTAGAGCACACCTCCTTGCTGAACTTCCAGGATCTCAGAATATTACCAGGATCCCAACCAATGCATGGTAGGCATTTCCATGAGGATAACAGACTGGAGGCATTCTAAGGTCCCAGATATTCTAAAGAATTCTTAACCTTTGGTGTGCCACTGGCCTCTTCTCAGTATAATGTCCTTAAATGTGTAAAATACAAGACATAAGTTTGCAAAGGAAAATTTATTATATTAAAAATATGTTGTCAAAGTAATTTTAAACTATAAAATACTAAGATGGGTGCCTTTTATTAATACATTAACAAGATCTAGAAGCAGATCTAATAGCGAGCATAAATTCAAAGTAGTGATGGCCGTAAGTGATATTTTAAGATACCTGCAATACCTTGGTATGCTGTGAACACATCACCATCACATGAACACATGAGCAAAGTCACAGGCACCGCTGAGATGGTGGTGGATTATGGCTACATCCAAAATGAAAGGAAATGATAGATTTCTATTGGAAATCAGTGAAAATAAGGATGTAATTTTTCCCCTCTAAGATATCAAATCTCCTGAACTCTATTCACAGACCATGACGGGCAACAGTTCTCAAAGTATGGTCTGAGAATCCCAGGGCTTCTCAAAGACACTCTCAGGGAGTCCACAAGCCAAAGCTACTTTTATACTCATCCCAAGATGTTAATTGCTTTTTCACTCTCATTCTCTCGAGTGTCCGCTGGTATTTTCCGGAGGCTACGCGACACACGATAACTCCATCACTCTGACAGTTAACGGAATGCGGGCTTGACTATTCTTCTGTTTTCAACTTTTCTCAGTTTTAATTTCTCATTTGATAAATATTGATAGGTAGCCCACATAAACAAAAGCTCTCAAATGTCCTCATTAATTTTTAAGAGAAAGGGGCCCTGAAACCAAAAAGTTTAAGAACTGCTGCTCTGGAGGTCCAAGAACCACAGGTTAACAACCATCAATGATACAGCATTTTAAAATGCTTCCCAAGTGGTTAAATTTATGGTTACTGGCTCAGGCTGCTTTCTGGTGCCAGGCCTGGGGCTTGCCTTCAGAAGACCACACCACTTCCTTCCTGGAAAAGTAAATGAGAGTGGGAAAAACAACGTCTAATTGCTTCCTGGGGAAGGTCCATCTGGCCAAGTCTGAATCCAAATGTTTAAATGCATGAAAAGAATCTTCTTCTACTCAAGGCATCATTACTATATAACTGTCTCCTAAAACACTTTGTCAGACAGAGCTTAATGTACCCACTGGACCCATCTTCTTTTCCAAGCTGACTCTCCCCTTTCAAGGACACCCTGTCCAGGGTCACACATCCAAATGCTGCCAGCATCCTCCTGACAGCAGTGCACAACACTGTCCCCTGCCTCTAGAGAGAGAGCTTTTCCAAAGACAATTGGGGATTTCCTTTGAATTATACAGAATATCTTCCCTCTCATGCTCATCTTATTTTCTAATCCTTCCATAAAGCATTTTTGTTATGATATTGAAGATAGAAAACCTTTTCTCGGTGTTCTACCTCGGTCAGGGGTGGGAAAGCACTAGGAGGCTTACGGGGGCAGGACAAGGAATCAGAGGACTTTTAAGAAGCAGGCAGTGAGAGGCGTTCCCAGCACTGGGGAGCAGGGTTACAGGAGTGGAAGCCAGGACTAGTGACTAAGCTGGAAGAATAAACAAGAATAAATGAATACATTGGCATAAGACCTGATTTCATTGAGGAACTGAGTAGGGACAAAGGCAGGTCATGTGTTGCACCTAAACTGAGGCAGCAAATTAGAAACAGACATAAAGCAGAAAAATATGATAAAGAACATCCAGAGAAAACAAAAGAAAAAAATTTTTAAATCAGAAAGGAACAATAAAAGCATTCTGCAACCATTTAATGAGGACAAGTAGCTCCATATATTCTCAAATCCCTGTATTGCTGGGTAGAATAACAGTGGCCCTGAGCAATTTAAAAAAAAAATCACATTCCATGTCCCCAAGAGGAAAAAATGAAAAGATGAGAATTTTATTATTTTCCTAAACTGACTGCTTACACTCCCCAGTGATGGCAGATAAAGGAGACATTATTATGCCTTGTTTTCAAGAAAGACTCCCCATAGTTCTATCTAAGTAATTTTCAGGTCTCCCTTATTAGCTCAATGATAACAGATTAGACTTCAGTCCTATCTCTAGCCCTTTGCTGATTTTTTATTTTACTTAGATCACTCAGTGATGACTTTGGAATAGAAGATAATATGTAGCATGAAGCTGAACAAAATTGTACCTTTCAACTAGTCATACACCAGGCTATTAAAATATAATAATAATGATAAGCAATTAAGTTACCTAAAGCAAAAGATATGGTTACAAACTGACTACAATTCAAGGGTGGCATAACTTTAGAACCAGAAAGAACATATCTAAATGCAGATGAGAAAAAACACATGGTGTCAAATTATATGTTTAGCATATGCATCCAGAATTTTCTGAGACAGCAAATTTATAGCATTATATTCAATAAATTTTATACCTTAAATGTTTAACTACTTTTTATTGAGTCGGTACTATATTTAAGACTTTTACAGAAACATTTATAATTGGGGGGCAAAAACTCCTTTATCAGACAGTTTGTTTCAATTATTGTATACATATCCTATAGAATCAGGACTTCTGCATTTTAACACCCCCTCCTTCCACTAAAATTTAACAAATCACAGAAAGTTTTTTTGAAAGTTACTTTTTAAAACCACTTTTATTGGCACAATCATGAGTCTTAAAGACTCATTTTCTTTTCCTTACCATATACCATATTTTCTCTGCACTCAGTTACAATCTTTGTGCTAATCTGCAATTTCAGAAGATATACTAAAAAGCATGTAATGTTATTCAAATATATATGAATGCCTTTTATTAATAGACACAAAATTATTTATTCTACGACCTTAACAATAATCAGAAATTCCTTATATAAATAACTGTATATATTTTAACATAACAGTAATTTTAGAATTAATGTTCTTTTTAAAATCTGAGTTGATTTTCTATATATATTGATAAAATTGTATCTATAAAATAACTTTATATTTCATAATCAGACTTATACATGGTACATTAATATCATACCAGATAACTTGGATTATTTCCAAACGACATTCTATTTCCTAAGAATACTTAAAATAATATATATAGATATAAGACATGGGACATGAGCTTCAGAGAACTGTTACAGAACGTTTTAAATTACCAAAGTTCAACATTCGCCATATGACATCCTTGATTCTAGGTCATCACTGAGTTAACTGGCAGTAATAAATAGTATGTATTCTAATATTTTATAGTTATTTCATTCTCATTTTTTTATTATCTAGCGGCCAAATTAAAGTTCACTAAAAGAGATTGTGATATCCCAAAAGCATAAAGATGTAAATATGTAAATCCTGATCAAACAGAAAGTTTGAGAAAGAAGTACAGGTCAGCAAGCATCATTTTTAGTACAATCCCTAGTCAATAGGCTAATAAAGGATAGCAAATAACAGCAAAAGAGATGCCAGTTGACTGCACTCTGGTCTTTAGATGAATGGATACACTGAAAGCCTCTTACTATAACCATGGGCCACTATACACCTCATAAATCCATTCATTTATTATCATTCTAATTTGTCAACTTTCCTGAAAGTTCCATCCATTATTGGACAAAATGCTGCATGTTCCAAACATTTCAAATGTAGCAGGTCACAGTTTGTCATATTCTAGATAGAACCTATACTTTTGAAGCAACTTGAGATCACACTCGTTTTTTATTTCATTATTGGCTTTTGTTGGTAACTTACTAACAAGCCAGGTCTCCCAGCCTTCATTAATGCAAAAGTCATATATTACTTTTAGCTTTGTTAAATTTAATCATGTTTTTTTTCCATTTTATTGCTCCATAAGAAGCATTTCATAAGCTAGTCATCACTTTATCTATCACAGCTTGACATCCACAAGTGTAATAGTATTTCTACTGTCTTTATTCAAATCATTTATAGAATTGTTAGGCTCAAGTCAGAAAATAGAAGCCTAAAGGAATGCCAGTAGAGATCCCTGTCCAGGCAGACATCTATTTCAATAACTCATTCATCTTAATCATTCAAAAGTATTTATTAACTCCTGTTAGAGAACATTCACATATGAGGCATTGGGAATACAGTTAGTAATGAGACAGATACTGTCTCTAACCTCACTGCGCTTACTGTGGTCTACAAGTAATTGAAATAATTAAAGTGTCATAAAATTATCATTGGATAAGTAAATGAGAGTCCATGGCTAAACAAGCAACCTGGCATAAGAAATTAATTCATGAATATTCTTCAATATGTTATTTATTCATTGGAAAATATGCATTACTCTCATGTAGCCGCATTTGTTCCTTCACTCCACCGCAGTATTATATGAAATAATCTCAAATGCTCTCATTAAACCAAGATACACAATACCTAGAACCCTGCCCAGCACGTAATGCTCATTTTTTAAGTGTTACAGACATTCTCCAGTAATGTAAAATTTAGGCCAGTTCCTTTTAATTGAGATACTCAAAATATTTTTTTTTAATTTTTAACAATTCATTCTACAACTCTGCCACACTTATGAAAAACAGTATTTTATAAATGCTGAAAGTTTAAGCAAATACTTAACACACAGTAATTTGTAGTAGTGATTCTCAAACTTTAATACATATATGATTTGCTTGGGAATCTTGTTAAAATGCAGATTCTGATTCAAGAGATCTGCAGGAGAGTTTAGGAGCCTGTAGTGCTGACAAACTCCTAATGCTGCTGATCACTAGAATACAGATTAAGTAGCAAGGATTAGTAGAATTCACCTTTCCCCTTCTCTGACAATTGGGATAACATTTGTCGATTTCTTGTCTGGCTCTTTTCCTAATCTCCATGAGTTCTTAATGATAAATATAAATTATCATAATAATTATTTTGATAATGCTTACATTTGAGGGAAACTTTGTCTGGAGACTAGACTAACCTTCATTTATATAATTGTTTTCTTGCTGTCTTCATATCTACTATGGGTTTTAGTTCTCTTAATCTCTTAACTCTTTCTGACTGAATGATTACTCTCCTTGGGAAACAGGAAGAGTGAAATAAGAGTTGACTGAACTTGCTTTATCTCTGCAACTGATTAAACGCTATCACCTAGTCCAAGAAGACAAACAAAAAGTCACGTTACCAAGGATGTGCAACAGCTTCAGACTCAGAGCTCAGATTCTTGATTGTTTACTTATTCTATTGGTACAACTAGAATTAAAGTCCTTAGTTTCCCTATTTTTATCTTAATGTTTAGCCCACAGTGCCTTCTCCTCTGATTCAATAAATAGTAATAAGAACTTAGTATTCGCCTTGAACACAACTCAGAATGCATTTCAGTTTTGTGTAGTATATAGTCAAAGCAAAAGAAGCTTAAAGAAAAATGTAATAAAGCCTAACAATCATTAACATTATTATGATGATTGTTACATTGTAAAGTAACATTTTATATTATTGAATATCTTGGAGAAGGAACAAAGCAAGGAAGAGGAGGAGGAGGAGAATGGTGGTAGCAGTAGTAGTTCAAGAGATGCTAACAAAACATTTAAATATGATTTCCCACTTACTGTATCTTTTTAAAGTTTTGATTAAAGTAGAATTCTTATGCAATTACTTGGTCTTATTCACAGTATTATAATCAATTCTCCCAAGAAATACAAATTATTATATAGCAGACTTGTCCATTTCCAAAAGCTCAAGATTGAGAAAAATTGTCTTAAGTCAATCAGCCACCATTTTCTGTACAGTCCCCAGAATTTAGACTTATCAGGAATTGCAAGTAATGACGGATGGAAAAGCAGTTCATTAAACTCTTTGGTTTAGATCAATGGCCACCTCCGGTAAGAATCCTAGGGAACTAAACACTTGGATCAAGAACAAGGGTAGCCAACTGCTAATCCAGTTCGACTGGAGTAAACCACCACCACCCCCATCCCACTATTTAGGTCTTATACCTATTTTCCTTATAAGTCTCAGAATTTTCTGGGAAGGAACCTCATAATTTCCTTTCTCAGCTTCCAATAATTGGGGGTCACATTCTGGCTTTATCCTGCCCAGTTAACATCAACATAACTGGTGGCAGATGAAGAGTAACTGGATCTCATGCAGCCTCTTTTTCAGAGCAGCACATAGCTGAAAGCTAGGAGCCTCTGTTCTGCTCTCAATTCTGCCAGTGATCAGCTGTGTAATCTTGGGCAATTATTGAAGCTGCAGCTCATCTCAAAGGCTTGTTGTTAGGAAAAAGTGAGACAATGTATAAGCAGCAATGACTGTGGGAGACAGTCTGTGTTACATGAAGGTTTCGATTTGAAAGGCTTGCACTGCAGCCCCATTCTGCCATAAAACTGCAACATTTACCTTAGGCAACCCCTCGGTTTCTCTTTCCTCATGTACAAAAATGGGAATAACTAGTCTACCATGCTATCTCAGGTTGGATTTTTTGAAGGTGGCCTAAAACAAATTATAAAATACCTGACATAAAACAGGCTGTCAATAAATAGTTATTACTTAAAAGCATTGTACAAATTTAATTCCTCACAAAGGATATAAAATTCAAACAATATAGAAGTAACCAAGGGCAAAGATCTCTGAGTGTATCAACATTTTAATCTCCCTTGCCTAGAATTTATTCCTCTTTTTCCCTCCTACTGTTTTTTAAGGTGGAACCATTTGGTAGACTAGATGAAACTGATCTTCACATTATACCTTTAGAATCAACATTATGAATTTGACTTCAAGGCTAATAGATCACCCCCACAAGCCATACACCTGCAGGGTTTATTGCAAGTGAATTTAAAAGGGAGGTTCCAACATTAAAATCGTTAGTTTACATTAAATCTTTTAAATAGAGTTATACTGGCTTATACAAAATTTATGCTATTTTTTCCATTTTATATTTGTGTGCTTATGGAAATGGAAAAGGTTTTTGGCACTAAACCATCATCATGAAACCAAAAAGAAGGAAGGAAGGAAGGGAGTAAGGGAGGAAAAAGGAAGGAAGGAAGGGAAGGAGGGAAGGAAGGTGGGGGAGGAAATACATATATTTGTGTTGAAAGTAAATCCAAGAAATCACAAATAGCCTTAACATTACCATCCAGGAAAGTCTGTTCAAGATAATCAATGATCTGAGTGGCCTCACAAATAATGTTTTCCCCGTGGATAAGGACAGGCACTTCTCCAGTTGAGTTCAAACGCATAAACCAAGGCTCATTGTGCTCACTCAGGGGCAGACTTACATCATGTTCCTCGCACTTCAATGCCTTTTCAGCAATTACCAAGCGCACCTGGAAGAGTTCACACTGGTTACCACAACATGTGCAGGCTTTTAATTGAATGGCATCCCTGGATACCACTAAGCAGTTTATTTTGTGCTACCCTGAGTTATTAATATTTTCAACATTCTTTTTAACTATTCCTATACCTGGTATTGACAAGTGAAACGTATTCTAGGATCTTGCTCCTATACGTTAGAAAAGATAATACAATAAGTAATGAAAATGATTCTGGCTATTTTCATTCCACAGTCACCCTCTCCATCACTACTACTTTCTTTGTGTCCTAAACCTTATTTATGTGTCTTCTCCTGACAAGGCCTTGAAACAGATACGCCAGGCCTGTGGAAGAGAGCGAATGCGACCCAGAGCAAAAGAAGGAACTGTAGATTATGAGGCTGCAGGAAGGCCCTTCCCTCCCTGCCTCCCTCTCCAAGGCCCCGAGACAAGGCCTCCAGCCCAAATGCCAAAAGTGATGGGGAGTTCTGTCGCATTTCATGAGTGGCAGTGCCTGACTCATGCCTTGCCAGCTCAGCCTGGTTCTCCCTTCTCCTGCACAAGGCGCATCCCTGCCCCACAAGGGAGCGCCCCCCGGGTTTAGGGCGTGGAGGCCGGTTTCTAGGTGCGCTGGCTCACCCGGGCGACACCCAGAGGGAGCTGTCCCGGTGCTGAAACCTGATCTGCGCCGCCTGCCGGGCCGAGGCCTTTACCTTTTGAGAGCTGAAGGAATGCGTCCAGTGGTACAGAATGAGCTTAACCTCTGCGTCCGACTTGCCTTCCGCCATCAAAGGCGTGCCCCCTCTCTGCTCGTCCTGCCTCCGAGCCATTTCGGGGTGTGTGAGCGCGGGGGGGCCTCGATTGTCCGCCCTTTACTTCCTCCACCCACACTGCCCTGCAGAATATCCTTAGCTTTCCCGCGATGCCACCCGGAGCTGGGAAAGTTCGCGCGGACGAACAGAACACTGGGAAGTGTAGTTTCGCGGGGAAGAACGCTCCGGGGCCGAGTCTGCAAAGACGCGGGGGCGTCTGCGTTCCAGAAAGCCTCTGGGGTACGCAAGTCCCCTGGAAGGTGCAAGTGGACGTTTGTTAGGGAAAACGATCTAAAATATGAGTCCCTGATTATTAAAGTGAATAATGAATAATGCTGATTGCAAATTACTCATCGGTTTTGCAGATAGAGGTTGCTTAGGTACAAAAGCATCACTTTCCCAGGATACTTAGAGCCTGTGCCTTTGGCGAAAGGGAAAGTCCGGTTGATAGACAAACAGGTTAAGGATTTAAGAGTTTTCATTAGAAGATGCTACTATGGAGTCATGTAATACTAGTAGTAGTAGTAGTAATTATTATTATTAATAACTAATAATAATAAATCTCATTAACAATGCTGAGTTAAAATAGCCTAGGTTTATTTGTTTTGTTGTTTTTTTATTGAAGTACTATCAATTACAATGTGTCAATTTCTGGTGTACAGCACAACGTCCCAGTCATGCATATACATACATATATTCATTTTCATATTTTTTTCATTAAAGGTTATTACAAGATACTGAACATAGTTCCCTGTGCTATATAGCAGAAACTTTTTAAATCTATTTTTACATATAGTGGCTAACATTTATAAATCTCAAACTCCTTTTCCCGAGTAACCATAAGAGTGTTTACTAAGTCTGCAAGTCTGTTTCTGTTTTGCAGATGAGGTCATAGTGTCCTTTTTTTTTAGATTCCACATATGAGTGATATCATATGGTATTTTTCTTTCTCTTTCTGGCTTACTTCATTTGGAATGATGATCTCTAGGTCCATCTATGTTGTTGCAAACAGCATTATTTTATTCTTTTTTATGGCTGAGTAGTATTCCATTGTATAAATATACCACAGCTTCTTTATTCAGTCATCTGTTGATGGATATTTAGGTTGTTTACATGTCTTGGCTATTGCATATAGTGCTGCTATGAACATTGGGGTGCATGTATCTTTTTGAATTACCATTCCCTCTGAATATATACCCAGAAATGGGATTGCTGGATCATAATGTAAGTCTATTTTTAATCTTTTGAGGAATCTCCATACTGTTTTCCATAATGACTGCACCAAACTACATTCCCACCAGCAGTGCAGGAGGGTTCCCTTTTCTCCACAGCCCATCCAGCATTTATTGTCCATGGACTTTTGAATGATGGCCATTTTGACTGGTGTGAGGTGATACCTCATTATAGTTTTGATTTGCACTTCTCTGATAATTAGTAATATTGAGCATTTTTTCATGTGCCTACTGGCCACTCATATGTCTTCATTAGAGAATTGCTTATTTAGGTCTTCTGCCCATTTTTGGATTGGGTTGTTTGTTTTTTTGTTATTAAGTTGTATAAGTTGTTCATATATTCTGGAAATTAAGCCTTTGTCAGTCGCATCATTTGCAAGTACTTTCTTCCATTCCATAGGCTGTCATTTCATTTTGCTTATGGTTTCTTTTGCTGTGCAAATGATCATGAGTTTAATTAGGCCTCATTTGTTTATTTTTTGCTCTTATTTCTATTGCCTGGATAGACTGCCCTAGGAGAACATTGCTAAGATTTGTGTCAGAGAATGTTTTGCCTGTTTTCTTCTAGGAGATATATCATGTCTTGTCTTATATTTAAGTCTTCAAGCCACTTTGACTTTATTTTTGTGTATGGTGTAAGGGAGTGTTCTAACTTCATTGATTTACATGCTGCTATCCAATTTTCCCAACACCATTTGCTGAAGAGATTCTCTTTTCTCCATTGTATATTCTTACTTCCTTTGTTGAAGATTAATTGACCATAGGTCTGTGAGTATATTTCTGGGCTCTCTATTCTGTTCCATTGAACCATATGTCCATTTTTATGCCAATACCATGCTGTTTTGATTACCGTGGCTCTGTAGTATTGTCTGAAATCTGAGAAGGTTATGCCTCCAGCTTCATTCTTTTTCTTCAATATTTCTTTGGCAATTCTGGGTCTTTTGCGATTCCATATAAATTTTAGGATTGTTTGTTCTAGTTCTGTGAAAAATGCCCTGAGTAATTTGATAGGGATTGAATTAAATCTGTAGATTGCCTTGGGCAGTATAGCCATTAAATAGCTTAGTTGTTAAACACAGAATTTTTAGAGCAGAACTACCTAGGTTCATTTCCTGGTTTTTCAATTTTCCCAATTTTGGAAGTAGAGATAATTCTATTTCCTCCCTAAGGTTTTTTTGTGAGAATTAAGTAACTAAATACAGTATTAAACACTCAAAACAACCTAAAATGTTCTAGACACTAAATGTTATGTACAAGTTCAGTTGCTTTACAAACATTCTTTTTATAACCATAGTCAAGATCATAATTTTATGCTAATCTAGTTATTATTGTACACCTCTCAAACTTAGCATAAATAGTAAATAAATAAAATTTCTCTTTCAGGAAATATGTATTAATATGACCATGAAATGACTGCTTGTATAATTCATTCAGCAAATATTTATTGAGTACCTACCATGTTCCAAGCATTGTACTGGGCCCCACAAATATGAAGATGTATAAGACCTGATACCTGGCACCCGAGATATGTCTGGTGGCAGAGACAACAAAATAAGTAGGCAACCACAGTGGAGATGAGAACTGTCAATCTTAGGGTGAACACAGGTACTCAGAGAAAAGAGAGGCAGGTACCCAACTCAGGTCAAAAATTGACCCCTGGAAGAGTCAAAATCTCATGAGGTCCTTCCTGCCCTTTATAACACTTCATTCGTTGTTCTCTATAATTCTTTTATACTTCTTCAGGATTTTTATATCTTTTTATACCACTCAATGAATTCAAATGCTACAGCAAAAGTGATCCTTACCAAATTTGTTTTTTATCATTTCACTCTTCAGAGAAATAAAGGAAAAAGCAAAATTTTGACATCAGACAGAGTGGGGTTTAGATTCTAGCTCCACCCTTAACCTGTCCTCTCTTGAACCTTCACTTCATTGTGTGCAAAATATGGGTGTATAAGAATATATGACTGCACAGGAATTCAATGAGAGGCTATGCGCAAGGCACTTAGCACAGTGCCTGTGCAATAGCAGTTGATGAAAGCATGCGTGGAAAAGCCCCTCTGTGATGTTAAGAGGATGTCATATGACTCTTGCTCTTCTCTCTTTGGGCCTTAAAATGTTTACTACTGCTTTATAATCCTCCTCTCCCATTCCCCTTCAGAAGAATTTCATTTTTAATTCTCCAACTTCAGATTCTAATGTATACTGTTGGTTCCCCTTCCTTAATGTGCTCAAATCCCCTCGATATCTGAATAAACTCAACATTCTTGTTAAGTCCTTTGTCACTTGCAGCTGAAAGAGTCCTGACATTGAAGCCCCAGTCTATCAAACACTGAGCACTTTCTCTGTCACATATTCCCAGCAGCAAAGTCATATGTTAATCAAAGGATTGACTGATTACCGTGTTGGTGTTAAATATTAAGTATTGAATATGTCCTTGGAAGTGTAAGTGTATATAGAGCTTCTGAAAGGAAATTTATCAGTCCACATCAATAACCTTGAAAGCGGGCGTAACTTCCAACAGTTCCTCTATTTGCAATTTAACCAAGGAAATAACTGGAGCAAATTCTGGTCCTGAAAATCTATTTCCCCCTTCTTTGATGATGGTAGAAATTCTAGCTAAGCATATGACTGCTGAGAAGAAAAACTGCATTTCCCAGGCTCCACTGCAGATAAACGAGGCATGTGACTAGTTTCTAACAAATGGGATATAATAGACATGCCAAAGGGCCAGTTCTGGGAATCCTCCTAAAGGAGATGGTTGGTCCTGTGCCTCTTCTTCATCCCATCCCTCCCTCCTGCTACCAGGAGAGTGAATACTGGCTTGAACCATGAAGAATGGGGCCATACCCTAGGGATGGCGAGCCCTGAGCTGACCTTGAGAATCTTAGGACATTGGGAAGCAGAATGACCATGTGAACCTCAGTCTGCAAACCTCCAAACGGGAGAGATAAAGCATCTTGTTTAAGACACTGTTATTTGGTCCTTTTTCTGGGTGCTATTGTCTTAACCTATCCTCACTACTACATCAACCGTGTGAAATATAAGTGGCTTTTATTTCTTTATGCATCAATATACTGTAATTTTTCTATACTAAATATGTGCTACTTTTACTTCTTAAAGACTTGAATACTACAAGAATGTCATTAAACAGATGAGGTAAGGAGGCATGATGGCTTGATTTGGTTTGGTTTTGAAATCACGATAGCGGTAGAAAAAGAACTGTTCCATCTACTTCCATTGATCCATAATCTCTGTTATTTTCCATTCTCATAAAAGCCACCCTGAGGTAATATAAAAACCTTATTATCTATTCACGTGATTATTCAGAGCTTCTGCTAAACTGTGTGTGTGTGTGTTCTGCAGCTATGAGTTTTTGTACATCGTTACATTAGATTGTGGGCTCCAGGCAAACAGGAGCCAGATCCAGGTTAATGTACTTCAATATGCATTTGTTGAGCTCTACCTGTCCTGGGAACAGTGCCAGATTTAGAAGATGTGAGGTTAAAAGTCACAGTCACTGGGACTCAAGTGTGGAGAGAGAAACATGAAACTTCAACACAGTGTCATAATTGCTCTGATATCTGAGAGATTATGATGGGAATATAGAGAAAGGCACCTAATGTGGACAGGTTTTCCAGAAGAGGTGATGCTCTTTATTCCAACTGGTACCATACTAATGCAATTACCAGTCTTCCCAGTGCTGTGCTTTCACCCCTTCATACTGCCTCGACAGAGCTGATTGTTAAATTTTCAGGAATTTGGCAAGCTGGATGTTCAACACAGCCAGTATTAAAAATTAAATAAGATTAAATTGTATTTAAGTGAATTATTTTTAAAATAAAGCTAGCAAATAATCAAAACAGCCT